GAGAGAGAGAGAGAGAGAGTGAGTGAGTGAGTGAGTGAGTGTGTGTACCTTTCCCCATCACACGCGTGAACTGTCCTGCGATGTCTCCGTCACCGATGGGTGCAGACGGTGATTCTCCGTCACACGCTGGAGGATTGTGGGTCTGGAAGCCCTCGCTCTCCTTCTCTTCACCGGGATTGGCTGCTTTCTCGATAGGTGTGACTCCAGGCTCCGCCTCCTTCTGGGCAGCAGTGGGCGGGGCATAGACTTTGATTGGCGTGATGATGATCTGCTGAAGCTCTTGTAAAGCATTCCGAACGTTCCCGCCTTCCAGAATATCCTGAAATCAACAACACGATCTACGCTAAGCGGACGGTTCGAGACGAATCAAAACAAATGCAAATTCAGATCCATTATTCACCTTTTCAAGAGATTTGAGGACGCCCTGTCGTTCTCGGAGCTTCTGTATGCTCAGAGCGATCTTATGTCGAGCTCCTTTCGTCACGTTCTGAAACAAACAAACAAACACACAACTAACTGACGCTGAGAGACTGATTAAGCAGCACAAACTGCTACATTTTTTCATGATTCTTAGAATATTTTCTTCACAAAAAATACCAGGGCTGCACCATAATAGTTAAACTAATAATCATGATTATTTCCCTCAAATTATAATCGTGATTATTACGCCACCCAAGGTTTATTTACCTTATTTCTGTACATTATTGTACAGAATATTGCGTTATCAGCGCAAAAGGTCGTGGGTTCGATTCCCAGGGAACACACATACTGGTAGAAAATGTATAGCCTGAATGCACTGTAAGTTGCTTTGGACAGAGTCTGCTAAATGCATAAATTAATTAAATTCTATTAACCCTCAACGCATTTGAGTCCATTTTGACCCAGAAGAGATTAATTAAAAAATGTGAAAAAATGCAGTTTTTAGTAAAGGAATTAAACTTAATGCTTTAAGACCCTCAAAATACACATCAAATCATTCACTCTCCATATTTTTTCCATAATTTTTTTAAGAGATATAAACAAACTTCAGGTCACTTTGACCCGGGTATGTATGGAGCACCATTAAGGTGTCAAAAATGCTTTTTGTAAATTGATCTATGAAGTTATATTAGTGTCAAAAAACCTTTGTAAAGTATATTTAGCCTTTTCCCCATTTCTCACGCACTTTTGGAATTAATTTTGTTGATAGTCATGAATATGTGCGCCTATTAACGAACCACTGCAATGTGAAAAACTGATCACTTTTTTAATCTGAAAGTGAAAGTTTATGAAAGTAAAATAAATTTTTGTCATATTTATGTTGTTTTGTTAGAAATAAATATATGGTTTCATAAATTTGGATTGTTTTTGAGTGACTGCTGTAATCAACATCAGGAATTGTTAATGTTTTGAGGAATTATTATAATTAATATTAGGAATTTGCATTAGTTTTTCTGGCGTGGCTCATTTGTAATGTCAAAGAATTTCTCAATTCAGCAGCTTCACTTGTGCAACAATGTGCAAGTCGGGGGCGGGGCTTTGAGGTCACATGAGCCGATGAGGGCGGAGCTCACCTGTGACTCCAGGTGCTGCTCTGTGAGAATCATCATTTCTTCATACGTCATCTGAGAAAAGAGCGACGCGTATTTATGCAGACGGAGACTCTTCAGCCAGGCCGGCACATCTGCAGGAGAAACACACACACACACACATAGACAGACACACAGACAGACAGACAGACAGACAGACGTACACACGCACAGACAGACACACGCACACACACACACACAGACAGACACACACACACACAGACAGACAGACAGACACACACACAGACAGACAGACACACACAAGACAGACACACACACAGAGACACACAGACAGACAGACACACACACAGACAGACAGACACACACACAGACAGACGTACACACGCACAGACAGACACACGCACACACACACACACAGACAGACACACACACACACAGACAGACAGACACACACACAACAGACACACACACAGAGACACACAGACAGACAGACACACACAAGACATTCAGCCAGGCCGGCACGTCTGCAGGAGAAACACACACACACACACATAGACAGACACACAGACAGACAGACAGACAGACAGACAGACAGACGTACACACGCACAGACAGACACACGCACACACACACACACACCCACACACACACACACACCCACACACACACACACACCCACACACACACACACACCCACACACACACACACACCCACACACACACACACACCCACACACACACACACACCCACACACACACACACACCCACACACACACACACACCCACACACACACACACACCCACACACACACACACACCCACACACACACACACACCCACACACACACACACACCCACACACACACACACACCCACACACACACACACACCCACACACACACACACACCCACACACACACACACACCCACACACACACACACACCCACACACACACACACACCCACACACACACACACACCCACACACACACACACACCCACACACACACACACACCCACACACACACACACACCCACACACACACACACACCCACACACACACACACACCCACACACACACACACACCCACACACACACACACACCCACACACACACACACACCCACACACACACACACACCCACACACACACACACACCCACACACACACACACACCCACACACACACACACACCCACACACACACACACACCCACACACACACACACACCCACACACACACACACACACACACAGACAGACACACACACAGAAGGTGAAGTGATTCAGAAATCATCCGCCGTCCCTGAGCTGTGTGCATGTGATGAGTCGTCACCTCTCATCCCGCTGCCGTCCTCCTGGAAAGTGTTGCGTGTGTTGCTCTGCTCCTCCGTCTGCTCGCTGCCTGAAGACGCGACGCTGCTCTGCGGCGACAGAGGGGCGTGTTCTGCTCCGGACACGCCCCCCTCCTCCTGGCTCAGCCAATCAGAGCTGCAGGCCGGTTGATTGGCAGGGGTGAGTGACATGGAGGGCTTCAGTGGGCTCGGCTGCACCTGACCAGTCAGTCCTGCGGAGCGATTGTGACAGATGAGCCACTGACATCTTCCATCTAACTAAACACGGACAGCTGCAGGTTTGTGAAGTGCCATGTGCACTTTGGTCCTTTTGTGCATGTTTACATTTTCACCAATGCAAATGAATCAATCAGATTTCAGAAAGCTTTGTTTATATGCATCATGTTTACTTATCTACACCAGCACTTACTTTCGTTCAGATCAAGCTCAGTCAATTGATTCACTGATTGTTTACATGAAGGCTTTCAGAGACAACAATGTGATTTTTAATGGATGCATGTGAACGAGTTTGTCATGAGTTCGTCTCACAATGAGACAGGCTTGTCTAGCTTTTTAAAACATTTATATTATTAAATATGTTTAATATTAATATAAATATATTTAAATATTTTTAATAGGCATATATTTTAATTTAGAAAAAAAAAAGTCACAACTGCAAGCAAAAAATCTGAATTGTGAGATAGAAAGTATTTTTTTAAATTGTTTTATTTTATTTATTTGTTTAGCAGCAGAAATAAGCTTGATTTTTTAAAAATCACAATTGCAAGTTCATATCTGACTTTTTTTACTCCGGATTGAGCATTTCGCAATTCTGAGGAAAAAAAATGTCCAAATGGTGAGATCATTTTTTTTAATAAGCTTTCATGCACATTAGCGTCAGACAGACCTGAGACGCACGGCCTGGCGCTCGTTACCTGTGCTGCTGTTGACAGCTGAGGTCACGCCACCCGATCCAGGGAACGCCATGTGTCCGTTCTGTCCGTACGCCGGCTCCAGGGCCTCAGCGGAGCAGGGCCACTCGTCGGAGCCCTGCCGGGCATGATGGTACGGAGCCGGGCGCGAGGACAGGTGCTCCTCCAGGTGACTGAGCCACAGGGCCAGAGAGTTGCGGTCGTCGAGGGTGGTGGCGGGATGGATGAGTGCGTAGGACAGCAGCTGGCGGCTCTCCTCCACGAACAGACTGCTCTCGATGGTGTGGCTCAGGACCTTCTGCAGCAGCTTCATGTATTCACACTTGGCTTCGCTGTTGCGCGGCTGCAGCAGGGGCAGATGGGAGAGCAGGAGCGACACGGCCTTCTCCTTCGGCTCCTGCTGCCACTGACTGACCACGGCTGGAGAAAGACACGAGGGAGATCTCAGTTTCATCCGAAGTTCAGATGTTAAAAAGGTAAGTTTGATTTAAAATTGAACCCTTTTAAGGAAAGTTCACCCAAAAATAAACACTCATTTCAATACAAACCTAGTTGAATGAGATTTAGGTCAAGTCTATTTATAGCACTGTAACGCATCATCAATATCCTAACAGTAGTCCATGATATTAATAATAATAATAATAGTAGTCTATGACTCGTCTTATGACGGTTTCATGTTCAATACAGTGGCTAAATTAACGAAAAATAAAGCATCAGCAGACGCAGACATTTCCCAGCAGCACAGCAGTAATGACTTTATGCACTACTTTACTTCCAACATCGATACTATTAGAGATAAAATTGTAAGCATGCAGTCGTCACCTACAGTATCGCATCAGATAGCTTGCTATAGATCGCACGTCAAAAATACTGAGAAAGAACGTCTTTTTTTTGCAGTGTGTTTAGAAGCTAAAGTAAATTTATTTGATTTAAAAATGAATGGCGATCTGTTGAAAGTTGTTTTCAAACTTTGAAGTTTTGCTTCGAAAATACATTTACTTTTACATATTGTAAAAGTATATTGGACTATAATACAATAAGAGCTCGCTCAAATACTGAGGTACTAAACCATTCAGGGCTTTATAAGTAATAAGCAAGATTTTAAAATCTATAGGATGTTTAATAGGGAGTCAGTGCAGTGTTGACAGAACCGGGCTAATATGGTCATACTTCCTGGTTCTAGTAAGAACTCTAGCTGCTGCATTTTGGACCAGCTGGAGTTTGTTTATTAAGCGTGCAGAACAACCACCCAATGAATTGGCAGAGCAGCCGTCAAGTGTTGGACAGTGTTCTAGGTTATTACATGCAGAGGTTTTAGGTCCGATAATTAACACCTCTGTTTTTTGCGAGCTCAAGATCAAGTACAAAACAGCCAAAATATAATCACTCTACTAAATGACTTCTATAGTTCATTCATCTGTCTAAAAAGACCAAACTTTAATATGATGAAGACAAACACAAATCTGATGGTGAATGGGACAATTTTCAGTAAATATCGACTTACAATTGTCTGAGAAACAGACTGAAATCCATCATATGACTCTGTAATATATTCCCAGTCATCTGAACCACTGTCAGGATATTTTTATGCCATTTGTGGAGTTTGGCAGACCCTATTTATGGATGAACTGGCCCTTTAAAAATAAGACACCAGTGCCTGTGCATGTCAGAGCGGACGCTGCTGGTGTTACCTGCATTGTTGGCTTCTGCCTCCAGTATGTGTATCTCGGTGCAGTCGGCCAGCCAGTGGTCCAGACAGATGTGCAGGAACCGGGCCTGCGTCCGAGAGACACGCTTCAGCAGCGACAGCAGCGCCACCGTCTGCTCGCACTCGTTCCAGCCCTTAAACCAGTCCGTCAGAATCCCCACTTGGTCCCGGAACATCATGGCCAGCTTCTTCAGGGGCGGGGGGCGGGGCTAGAGGGAGGGCGGGGCTTGTATACACTGGGGCGGGGTTACAGGCGGTGCTCCAGTCCACTCAGAGAGGCACTGACAAGCCCTCACATGGTTCTGGAGCGCGGTGGACGCCAGCCGGGCACGGGTCAGTGTTTGGGTTCAAGGGTCAAAGGTCACAGGCAGATGCAAATGCAGACGTGACTAGAGCATCTTCACGCGCACAGCTGCACACAGAGCACACGCGTGTTAAACAAAGCACACAAACACTCACTCATCCCTCTTTCTGTCTCGGAGTATCACAGAGCTGCACATAATCAGATTCCCACCGTCTTGCAGACCACAGCAACTCTGAGGGGATTACATCCATCACTCGCCACTCACAAACCAGGGCAAGTTAGTAAGAGATGACTACATGCAGTCAGAAGAGGGGTACGGTGTAAAATCAGGGTAAACTGACATGTAAAATACAGTCAGACGAGGGGAAGAGCAGGGTAAATTAATAAGAAATGAGTAAACACAGGTAGAAGACAGATGAGGTGTACAATCACATAGGTGAGGTCAAATCAAACAGATAAGCTGTAAATGCAAAGTAAATTAAAAAAAAAGTAAATACAGTCAGAAAATGGGCACATTGAGTCAGATGAGGGTAAAATCACAGTGAGGAGGTGTAAAATCAGGGTAAACTAAAAAGATGAATAAATGGCCTACAGTCAGAAGACGAGTGCATTCAGTCCGATGGTGTAACGTCATACAGACGAGGTGTAAAATAAGGGTAAAGAATAAAGAAATGAGTAAATACAGAAGAGGCGTGCATTCAGACAGGAGAGGATGAAGCCAGACTGATCGGGTGTAAATGGAGTCCGATGAGATGTACATGCTGTCAGAAGATCAGATGAGCTGAGAATCACAGAACTGGAGGCTTAAATCCATGAAATGTAAATGTGGAATGAGACGGCGGTGTATCGATAGCCGCTGCTAGCTTTCACACACTCACACACTCACACTCAGACACACACACTCACAGACACACACTCACACACACACACACTCACAGACACACACACACACTCACACACACACACACTCACACAGACACACACACACACTCACAGACACACACACACACTCCCACACACACACACTCACACAGACACACACACACACTCACAGACACACACACACACTCCCACACACACACACTCACACAGACACACACACACACTCACAGACACACACACACACTCACA